AAAAAAAAAAAAGAAAAAAACAATAATAATACTATTCTAATTATTAAAGCCCCTATATTCTAATTATTAAAGCCCCTATATTACCCATGGTCACACCAGCGACTGCTGAGGCTCGGGCTCTTTCAAATCTGCAGTTGTGATTGGCGCGGACTGCGCCCGACCTCAGAAGCACTTGCCCGATGGATTTTGATGTGGCTTACTCTGCCGAATGCTGGCTCGTAGATGGAAGAGCCCCGACTTCCGTTCTTCCTTGAAAGTTCCTGACAGAGCTTGTCAGGCTTATCCCGCTGGGTCGACTGGTCTGACCGAAACACCTGCGTCCTCTTCGGCGACGGCGCTGGCGCCATGGTAATCACTGCAACGGACGCAGAGAAGGATGCAGCTCGGCCTGAAGAGATGGGTCAGTCACAGAGTCGGGGATATGTCCGGTTCCTGACATGGCATGCAATAAAGGTGATGATGTGTCACAAATGATGCGGCAACTGAGCTCTCGTGGAGATTCTTGCAGCACCGGGCTATACACGGTAATTCTTGAATTGGTTTTTGCTGGCACCAGAATGACAATCCTCATTTTTGGATCAGGCCCGTCTGCGGAGCAACCCATAATGCCCGGGGCAGGTACTGTAACCAAAAAACCCTTCATGGCCCAGAGGCCTTGCTTGGCTTTCGCATGGGCAGCGATGGCAACGGACGCCAGCTGAGATTGGGCTCGGCGAGTCCGGCGGTTCCGGGGAACACATCGTCTGCAACACGCATCATCATGCTGGTGAACATACTCTTCGTCATGTTTGTTTATCCAAGCAGCCACACGACAAGGTGCTGTGAGATCAGACTCGGTTTTGGCCTATGCTGCCGCCGCAAGCCGCCGCAACCACTAAAAAGCACTTTTGCCATCAGACTACTGAAGCGGAAGTCGAACAAATCCACAACACGAGGTTCTCACAGTCACAGCACTGGAACCAAACCTCTGACCCCCGAGCCTCCAGCGCAGACACCCCATCAACACGTTGGCTTGCCCACCCAAAGCATCCCAGGGCCAATTTTTGTTGGACCCTCCAGCCCTTCCCAGGAGCTTGCCACCTGGGCTTGAATGCCGAGGCAGACGGCGTGTCCCTAGGCGCAGGCTGGGTGGCCCATGTGGTTTCAGAGGTGTTAAGGCAGGGAGGAGAGGGAGGAGAGGATCCGACAGGACAGTGGATCAGCCTGGGCTGAAGCAACTGGGTAACCCATGACTTGAGTGGTGCTGGGGTTGTTCCTCCCAGTAGGTCATGATCACAATGCAGGGCCTGGTGGAAGTTATGGCCAGTATGCACTGCATCCTGAGGTGAGTGAGTCTGCTTTGTAACATTTTGCAACTATGAGAGTCAGCTTTACTGCTTTACCCCTTTTGGCTCGTGGTTGCCGAGGCAAGGAGGGCGGAGACGGAAGATACCGCAAGGTGACCATGAACGGAGCCTCGGCCGCACAGTTGTCAGTGGCGGTGTCGCATCCTTCAGATCCCGAAGACCCAAGCTGCCCGAGCTCCGACCAATGACACTTATGTAAGCCCATTCGCCCTCACCCTGCTCCGCCCTGGTCATCGCAGGCAAAGAAGTCTTCCGTTTTGCGACCAGCAGAGCCCCAGAGGCCAGGACCGTTCCGGCACATGATGAGCATACAACGAACACACAAATGCGGATTCTAGTGCGCACATGCATACACATGCATACACATGCATCCATCCATCCCTCCGTATGTACACAGGTACATGCATGCATGCATGCACACATACAAGCAACTATAATTGCTTGTTGGGATTTTTGTTGGCCTTGAGCCTGTCTTTGCAGGGGCTTTGCTTGTTTTGAGGTTAGCTACAACAGCATCAGGCCTTCCAGCTAAACTGTAATGACAGCTTCTCGGTCGACGGTAGCAAGAGGGAGGTTGCATGCAAGCATTGCGTCTTCATGCTTTCGTTTGCTCCTTGAGCCGTGAAAAGGCCTGTCGTCAAATTTAGGTTATTGGTATGTGAGTCCTGATGCCAAGAAAGCCTTGATGCCTGAGCCCTTCTGCATCCCACACTTGATACCTGAATCGAGGACATTGCACAACAGGACTTCCCAGACTGCCGAGTTCATACCACCACCTTCTCCCTGCCAGACGCTCTCCAAGCTCATGGAAGAGCACAACATCAGTGGCGAAGAGGCGTGGTAGATGGTACGCCCGGTTGCTTTGGAGGGTTCGATGTCCAGAGCTCCAGGAGCTTTGATGGCATCAAAGAGTTTGCAGCCCTGGTGTGGCGCTAGGTGCTTGCAAGCCGAGACTGCAGCCTATCTTGGTACAAATCATGTCTCCGGCTCCAGAAGTTCAGAGTCCGGCGATCGCACAATGATACCTTGGCTACTGCAAGAACTCTGACTCGATGCCAAGAGCACCGAAGCCTGGAAGCCCTTCGCAACATCTTGGCAAGTAAATGCTAAAGGCGCGGAACTGGGGCCAGAATTTTTACTGAGAACAACAAAGATCGTTAACAGCTAGTTCCTTGGACGTTTCCGTAGGCCCCCGGTTCACTCCATTTCGTTTGAACTGCCGAAGTAGGCAGCAGGGCAGTGATCTTCGATGGCTTCCATTGGGACGTTGAGGATTCAGGGTGTAGGGACGTACCATGACCTCACATCCCTTCTCCTCTGAAGGTCGACTGGCTGCTCCTGCACCAGGCCGGACTAAAAATACCCTCCGCTGTCTCCTCGTCTGGGAACTAAGACAGCACAAAAACTCTCGATGAGCAACATTCCTCCCCTGCCATCGCCTTGTTGTATCCTTGATGCTCTTGACTGTTATCCAGCTTGTTCTCCTCGTCATCCATATCCTCGCCTCTGCCATAATATCATGGTGCTCATCGCAGGTCAAGCCACCACCATCTTCTTGACCATCGTTGTTTTTGGCAGTAACATCAATACTTGCATCACCATCGTCGTCATCTTCTTCTTCAAAGCAGTGTCATGCTAGGCCTTACTATGGTTATTAACTTATTGCTACCATCATTGTTCTACTAGGACAGTGCATTTACGTGTCGCAGACAGCCTGCCAGAAGCCAGCACGACTGATCATGCAGTGACCTGTCTTTAAAGCGCACCGCTGAATGAATGCAGCTGAAGCATAAACAGGCTCTGTACGCGGGTACGTGCGGTCTGGTAGTAAAGGTAGTATGTGGATAATCGAGAAGTTTGAAGCAAGCGAGTTAATTGCCTGGACAGAACATGGGAAATTATGGGGTGACTTCGGCACAGATGACGGGAAATTGGCCGACAGGAAGTCACGAACCAGCTCTTGTAGAAAAACTTCGAAGTCGCAGGCAAACCGCCGGATCATGGATTCTGCAGCTCGTCGCCTGAAGTTGCCGAAGGATGCGCACCGTGCCTTCCAGCTCTACAGAAGACAGACGTAATGACCTTGAGGGGTGGCCTCAGCTGGCCAGCACCTCTTCCTGCTTTGATTCCATGTTGTGCCACAGCCTGGCTGTGGACAAGACCACACCATTTCCGGTCAGAGGTGAATAAAGCAATTAAAGTAATTACTACGATGCAGAGCTGCCTAAATTATTTCCACCAGGAGAAGATCTTGTGCAACCTGGATGAGTACGGCAACACTTCGGCTGCCTCCATCCCGCTAGCCTTGGATGAGGTATCAGGGCACGGCAGCGTTCAACGGTCACGAGTGAGGGTAAATGTAGGGTCCTTCCAGAAGGTGTTTTTGTGAGGACTTCAAGGACCTTTGACCAGCCTCTACTTTATGTGTGAAGTTTTGCAGAAGCCAGAGAGAGTACAAACAGGTGCCAGTTTGTTTCAGAGGCAGCTTGAAGTTGCTACGCATTGCTACGCCATGCAGCGCACAGCTGCCGCACCTGCATCAGGCGGTCAAGGAAGGCAAAGTTCAGCCAGGACCTGCACGAAGTGGGGAGATTCACGGCATGGAAGTGTGCCGTGACATCCTAGCGCAAGGTTGGACGCGAGAGTAGTCTTGCGAGTGCATATTTCAACGATGAGATATGGCAGTTCATATCCGACTGTCCGTGACTTCCAACATGCATTTTACGCCCCGAAGGACAGCTCGTGGCTTGCTGTGGCTTTGGAGCGGGGTTGACTTGGGGAGGCGGACGCTTGCCAAGCCACTGCGATCGCACTCCGAAATCGGGCAGTCCAGACCGGCACATGCTCGCAACGCGCTGTCGCTTGCTGCAGCTGTGATTTTGGCAAAAAGTTCATATAGCATGCAGCCTTGTCAGCAGGTTTTCTACAGGAAGCTGACCCACAGTCTGAACTGCACCTAGCGGACCTAGCGGACAAAGCCATAGCTTACCCTCACCAGCCCGAAGCTTGGGCAGCCGAGCGCATGGCGCAGACCGGCCACGGCCTTAACCTGGCCGAAGCGCATGTGCACACTCGCAGAGACATGCATGCCTATGTAACCCCTACACTAGCCTTAAGGACGAACATACATGCAGACACATCGCGGACATACCCGCACTGCAAAGCACTCACGCTTGTGAGCATGTGTGCATGCATATTATATGCTACACTGGTGACTACACATCTTCATATACATTTACGTATTCTCATATACCTGCACATGCAAATGCCTGCATACCTACATACATATAGGTATATACATAAACATGCACATATACACACATCCATCCATCCATCCATCCATCCATCCATCCATGCATGCATGCATCCATCCATCCATCCATCCATCCATCCATCCAACCATCCATCCACGTACACACATCATGCATGCGTGCGTCCATGCATCCATACGTGAATGCATACATACACATACATAGGTGGATGAAGAGACAGAGAGAGTCGAGACCAATAGCAAAAGAGACCGTCAGTCCCTGTTTCACTCTCAATGCAGCATCGATCTCAAACACGCCGCACCCCAGCCAAGAATCAGAGGCCGGACTCACTGCGATATTGCTTCTTGTGGCACAGATGATGACTTTTTTCGCTTTTAAGTTCTCGTTTCAAGCCGCACGGCACTTGCTGGGATTTGAGGTTTCGGGCATGCTTTCGACTTCAGGCCAGATCAGGGCTCTCCCCCTTTGGCCGCTTGCGTGCCCGGGTGCACCAGCAACTCTTAGGCTCTCCCTGGGCTCTGCCCGGACTTCTGGGCGGTGCAGCGCTCGTGGTCGCGGTTTTTCCCGATCGTGGGGCCGCCAAGAATGTTCCGGTGTCGTTGCTTTGGAGAGCAGGTAAATCAATCCATGCAAGCACTTCTCTTTCCGATTTTGGGCTCCAGCTGTAATTGGCATCCCACTTTAGCGGCCCTATAGCGCCAAACCTCCTCAGAATGAGCCTGGCATTTACGGTGGGCCAGCCGAAGCTGACTCAGAGGATCATGCCGAAGAAGTACTCGGCATGTCTGAGGGAAGCAGTGGGCTGATAAGCTTAAGTTCGGTTGGATGCAGGCAATAGCGAGCTTAATTGAGAGCCACGAATCAACTGCGTCAGTGACATGTCCGCCTGCAAGGATATAGAAGGACGACAGGAGATGACACGAGTAGTCTGAGAGCTTCAATTCCCAACTTCGTAAGCAGGACCGGGCCCTTCGATACCAGAGCCACGGGCGCGCCATTGCAGAGGAATGACAGAGTGACCGACACTTCAGGACGCGCATCCATGCAGCCTCCGCATCACGTCAAGCCTTCAGCGCTTATTGCAGCTGCACGCCACGAATATCCCATTCATGATGGCTTTGCCAGGGGCCATGGGGGCAACTCGGGGCAACAGTCAATGTCTGGCGAGCCAGCGGCATTGTCTTGTGACACCCAGGTCTGACAATCGGATGCTCACACAGCCGGTCGCGAGCCGAAGAGATCCGTCGAAAATGCAAGGCCTTGTCCATTAAAGTAAGAAGCTGCAGCGAAACTTTGCAAACGTGTATCAACATACCTCACTGCAGCACGTTGGCCGTGCATGTTCCGGACAAGGAAACAGCAACAGCTGAAAGCAGGAACCTGTACAAGAACCACCGCCGCAACAAAAGCGGCAGCAACCCCAGCAGTATAGTATGCACTGTCGCTGCCGCCGACGCCGCCAGCGCCGGCACCACCGCCGCCTGTGCTGTCGGCGTCGCTCCCGCCGCCACCACAGCGGCCATCATGCCAATAGCTGCAGCAACAGCAACGCCGGCCAAAAGTAGCAACAAGCGGATGAGAAGCGTCATCCCATCGTAGGACAGTGATTAGCCGAATCAGCAGCGGAGGCAGAATGCAAGCACGATGATTCGTCCTGCAGGACGGGGATGGCAGTCCGTGGGCGCGGCAGTAGCTCTCGCAGCCGCAGCTGGGGCGAAGGCACCGGCCTTGTCTAATGTTTCCGCATGGGGAATCCCACATATCCTCACCACCCTGAGCATCCGACAGAACCTCAGAGACTTCACGAGCCCAAGGTCGCTCGGCGAGCGCGTGGCACGAGTCGGATAACTCTCTTCGCCGACCGGAGGGTGGTGGTGACAGGCCTTTCGTAGTTGCAGTCCGAGGTTATGTTTCAACTGGCCTGTTGTCCCTCAAGGTGATGCGGTCTAGTCTAATTTCGCACTGCACAGTGCAGAGCAACGCACGTGGATTTGCACTTCGGTGTGTTGCAGGTTTGCAGAGGGGTGGCGAAAGAACATTTAGACCCACTGACATCGAGAAGTGTTGCCGTTTGAACAGAGCAGTTCTTCTTTCAATAGTCCGAAGATAGAAACCGGCTACTTGGTTGGGCAGGTATGGGTATCACGAGCTGCCTTGGCAACAGCTTAGACGAGGTGGCAGATTCGCTCCATGAGGGCAAGTCCGGAATCACATTCTCCGAGGAGTATGAAAAGTTTGGCATCAAGAGCCAGGTCCGTGGCACACCCGATTTGACTCAGGAGGAGATCAAGGAGCTTATTCCCAGGAAGGCTCTACGATTCATGGGTCGCAATGCTCAATTTGCGTACATTGCGCTTCAGCGAGCCATCGACAATGCCGGGCTCAAGCCGGAGGATTACGAAAACAACGAACGATGCGCGAGCATCCTTGGCCAGGGTGGCACCTCTATCGTGGATGTCACAGAGAGTGTCGGCTTCGTGGCGGACCAGGTAAAGCGCTGGCCCAGCAAGGTTGGGCCTTACCGTGTCACCCGCACCATGGGCTCTACGGTGTCGGCCGTCCTCTCCTCCAGCTTCAAGTTGCAGGGCCCGTCCTTTTCAATCTCCTCCGCGTGCTCCACAGGGGCTCACTGCATCGGCGTCGCTATGGAGCAGATCCAGATGGACAAGGCCGACATGGCCGTGGCCGGTGCAGGCAGAGGGCAACAGAGCCCCTTTCAATGCCGGCCCCGTATTTTTAAGGAAGCAGATACTAAGCACGGCAGTAATACAGTGGCGTCAAGACTTACCAGTACGTACTGTCTCCCATTCAATGCTGACCTGCCAGGTGAGAATGAGTGCTGGGAGTTCACTGCCATGTTCGACTGCATGGGCGCTCTGTCGACCAAGAGGAACTCCGAGCCAACCAAAGCTTCGAGAGCCTTCGACAAAGATCGCCTCTTGGCAAGTTTCATCACAGTAGCAATGTAGCAGCCGAGTAAGTCAGCAAGTCCGAAGCGGCGATACAGGAAACGGCAATACTAACGTGGCGATCAGGAGACCGAATTCAAAACTCCCACCGCGTCCCCCCCTGGTGGCCTCATGGGTCTTCGTGGTTCGGAGGGTGTGGAACCAGTGCAACTCAGGATGCCGGGCTGGTTTGGTTTGGGTCTTGATTTCCCGCGGTCTTGTTGGACAGCTTCTTTTGACCCGTCCCAAGGCGATGGCTTCGTCATCGCCGGAGGCGGTGGGATGCTCGTCCTCGAGGCCTCGTCGAGACGGTCTTTGAAAGCTTGTTGCTATCGAATCGTTTCTCTATGGCGGTGTGGTTTAGAGAATCTGATGGCCTCTTGTTTCAAGATGGCCCTTTGCTGCCATGTGGTTCCATCCCGACTAGCTTCAAGAATACCCTTGTCCTCGATTCATTTCGCCAACCCAAACCCCTCGACGCCGAGCCAGATGTTTGGGCAACTTGGCATACTCCTTCCCAAGTCCGACGCCCATATCCCAAAGACTCCGATACTCCTGGCGATTCACGCCAATGTGTCGTGGGCTGATTCAGGGATCCGGCCCATTGTGGTTTTCCTAGCTCGATCATAGCTGCGTGCTTCATTTTGATACTTGCAATGTGGCCGTTGGCGTTCGGGACAATGCCTGCAAGTTTCTACAGAGCCTGTTTTCCTCAACTCTGGAGCGCCGTGTGAATGCTCAACTCAAATTTTCTGGACAGGAGCTGGAGCACGCAAAGGCCCGAGGAGCAAAGATCTATGCCGAGCTTACCGGTTATGGTGCCAACTCTGATGGCTCCCGGGACTTTTTCAGCTAAGTCACGTGATGTTTCGAGGCGTTGGCTGTGTCTGCGGATAGTGCGAGTCCACAGAGTTGCTTTGTGAGCACTGCAACTAAATGCGTCAGTTGATGTACCTGCAATGCGATGACTTTCAATGGCCACCTGTTCCTGTGTCATCTTGCACGCTTGCTGTGCGGTTCGTGCTTGAGGCTACGATGTTGTGGCTCCGTCGGGGGTTGGTGGTGAGCGCTGCATGAAGATTGCCATGGCGATGGCAGACAAAATTGGCGGTGAGAAAGAGGTTGGCTACGTCAACACGCACGGCACGTCCACCCCGGTCGGTGATGTACAGGAGCTAGGCGCCGTCAACCGTGTCTTCACCGAGAAAGGCTACCAACCCTTCGTTGGTTCAACGAAGTCCATGTCGCTGGGCCGAAGCTCGCAGGAATGTTGGTTCTTTCAATCTAGGAGACCATCAGATGCCATCCTCATGATTTATGTCGAAGTTGTATTCAATGAGCTGCCCAAGTTCTGAGTGACTAACGTGTCTAAGTCCTTGACCTCCACGACAACCTGCAGTCCTACAGGTCAGGGCACGCCTTGGGCGCGGCGGGCGTCCATGAGGCCATCTACTCCATCCTGATGATGGAGCGGGGCTTCCTAGCAGAATCCATCAACATCGAGGACACTTCTTTCAAGATGGCGTGAAGTATCTTAATCGAATGTCAAAGTCGTGTGATATCCATGCCGTCACAGAGGTATAGCCGTGTGAGCATAGTAGGATCACTGGTTGTCGTATTCATTGCACTTGCAGTAGTGCGCCTCCAAAGGCAGAAGTACGAGTGCCAGTCGCAGCAGGAGTGACAATGCCAGCGGTACTGTACAGTAGCAGTATTGGCAGTACTAGTAGTATGAGAAGTATGAGCAGTGGAGTCGTCGTGACGACGACCACGATGACAGCGACTACTGAGTAGTAGTCCTCGTCGTCGCAGACGTGGCCATAGCCGTAGCCGTAGTAGTAGAAGTAGCATTCGCAGTGGCAGTCGTGGTGGCAGTGGTGGTAGTAGCAGTCGCCGTCGTCGTCGTCGTCGTCGTGGTCGTCGTCGTCGCCGTAGTCATGGTCGCGGTCGCAGTGGGAGCCAGAATCGTAGTCGTAGTCGTAGTCGCAGTAGAAGAAGAAGTAGTAGTAGTAGTAGCAGCAGTAGCAGTCGGTAGGTAGGTGGGTGGGTAGGTAGGTAGGTTGGAGTAGTAGTAGCAGTAGTAGTAGTGGCAGTAGGTAGTAGTGGTAGTGGTAGTGTTAGTGGTAGTGGTGGTAGTAGTAGTAGTAGTAGTAGTATCGTAGTAGTAGTAGTAGTAGTAGTAGTAGTAGAGTAGCAGCAGCACTAGCAGTAGCAGTAGCAGTAGCAGTAGGCAGTAGCAGTAGCAGTAGCAGTAGCAGTAGCAGTAGCAGTAGCACTACTACTACTACTACTACTACTACTACTACTACTACTAACTATTACTGCAACTACTATTACTGCTACTACTACTGCTGATGGC